GTTTTCTGTCCCACTTGGCTTCTGATGAGCAACACCTGCTCCTGGTATTTACCTGAGAACAGGTGTGGCTCATCAGAAGCCAGGTATGATAGAAAACCTACTGGACGGTAGCTCTCCGGGACCGGAGTTGGGGACCCCTGGTATAGAGTCATTGTGGGGCACAGAGGGGCTGAACCCCGGTAGAGGAGTGCCCAGGAAACAGGGATGCTCAGAGGACCTTTGCAAATGCATTGTCTGTTCACGGGGGTTTATTTATCTTGTTTTTTTCTGGAAATAATGCTTGAATTGTTCAGTTTGGGACATTTTGCTGAAAAAGCGGCGAGGTGGGAGGACACGATAAATTGCGCGATTTCCTCCGCTTTGGCTCTAGGTCCTAAAAGCCTTGATTTGTATTAAGAAATCAGGGTGATAGAAAGCTTTTAGTTTAAGTTTAGCCTCTAGTGTGTACGGTGTCAATTGTTTATCTGAAGACAGGTGGATAAAACAGATTATGGGCACTATTAGATTACATCATCAAATCAAGTATATTGCTTGGTTTTCCAGTCTTCCTGCAATTTCATTTTTTCCTCATTTTAAACCTCTTCCAGTAAATAACATTGGTTTCCCATTCAGACCTTACTGTAGCATCCTTAAGCAAGATACGCAACACAAACTGTGTATTAAAACACATACTTGTGCAAACCTGATAAAATAAGCATCAGCTACATTAGTCTGGACAATCTTGGATGCAACTATATAAGATTCATTCTCTTATTCTCACTTACACTCTACTATTGTTACTTTTTAAATACTTGCTAAACATTTCTGCAAGGCAATATAATATAGAAGTTTTATTGTTATATGAACATCTGTGAGAATGAGTGTGAATGTACTGAAGCTAGTGTCCTCTGTGAACTTCTACAGTCTCCACACCAGAGGGAGCTATTCTCTGTCTGACAACCCCAGAGCAGTGTTTCCCTGGGGGCCCCTGGTTGGTCCACATTTCTGCTCCCTCCCAGATCCTGGTAAAAACATGGACCATTTAGGAGTCTGAGGACCAGACTGAGAAACACCGCCCTAGAGGATTCCGCATCGCCACATTTTGCTGCTTTGCAAATGCCCGCTCCTGTTCCAGGATACAGGTCAGCTGTCTCACCAGCTCTACTGGTGGCTAGTGTGCGCTTGTACTTTCTCCAATAAACAGTGAGCTTTTCACACTTACTTGTAGATCATCTTTAGAATGGTCTAAATACTCCAATGAGTGTAGATCAGTTTTTCTAACACAGGGAGAAGCATATCTATTACTGTCAGGAGTCTCTGCTACCTTGAGACATTGTTCACACTGCCTATTGTTGTTCTCCAAATGGACAAGAGGGACTCTTTTCTCAGAAGTTCTTTTCCATGCAAAAAACACTCCTTCATTGTTTAAAATGGTTCCCCATGCTGTCACTGTAACCAAGTTAGGTAAAAGATTGTTCAATTATGTTGTGTAAATAATTTGCGTACAACTATCAGACACTGTTTGGAAAAGAAAAATTATTCTACTGCATGATACATACTGACAGTACAACATACACACCTCACCATTATAAGATCTGATCTATTGGATACAGTATCAGTATCTTACAGCCTATTGGTCAAATTGAGTCAGTCAGCCAATCAGAATTTTCACCAACCTGACATTTATCTGAACACTTAAACCATGAAAATGTCTTTTTGTCATCAATCCAATAGTGATTAAGTAACAATTATAACCACTTCTTTAGAGGTTATGTTTGTGCTAAAAGAAAAACACATTGCAGTTGGACTTATTGTAAATTTGACAGCAGCTACAGCCCAAACATAAAAGTGTGCAGACAGAGAGATGAAGAGAAGATCAAGAGAGGTTGAATAAACATTTCTGCTCTGTGGCTCAAACAATGACTAGTGTAAAACACGACTCTACTGCCAGAGCCAGGCCATGGTGTTGACTGACTTCAATATCTCAGAATTATTTTGTTTTATTTTACATTTGACTTTAATGCTGAGGGATCAATTTCGCGAACAGGCAAAGAAAAAAAGTGCATGCTGGAGTTTACATTTGCAAAAGAACTCCTCTAGACCAGTGGTTCCCAACCTTTTTTAACTCACGGCCCACACAGCCAAACACATATGTTTCCGCGGCCCACTGCAAAAG